CCTGCGCCCGGAGGACCTGGGGACCCCGGGCCGGGGCGTCGTCCGGGCCGGGCGGCGGGAAGGGCGCGGCCCGAGCTGCTCCCAGGTGCTACCGGCAGAGTCCGCGCCCGCCTGGCACCTGCCGCCCGGCTCTGCGCTCCCTCCGCAGCGGGGCGCCGGGGCCCGACCCAAGACCCCACGGCCTGACTGGGGTTTTGGTTTTCCTTCCACATGTTTCCTGCCACCCCTTTCTTTGTCTTTTTCTTTTTCTTCCTTTTTCTTCCTTCTTTTTCTTTTCTGCCGGTGGTGAGACAGGGGTCTGAAGAAACGCTGCTCACCCCAACCCCCAGGCCCTGCCTCCCACCGCTCACAGACTGTTGGACGCCCGGCCTGTCCCTGGCGTCCCACCAGCCAGCGGACTACTCCACTCTGCCTACAGCCCTAGCCGCTGACTCGATTCTCTTTTGTATTCTTTATTTTCCTTTGCACCCACCAGACCCAGGCCTCACGTGAGACCTGGTGACCAAGGACCTCACCGTCTGGGACAGGGGGTTAGAGAGGGTGGGAGGGCTGGAACGTGGCTTCCTAGAGAACTCTTTTCGTTTCTGTTAACTGGCCCCTCTCGGGAGGGCCTGGCTGGTCAGGGTGGACGGTGGGTATCCGCAGTAAAACGGTCTGCTCACTGCTGCCTCCCGCTGTGTTCTGTGTTGGTGGAAGCGCAGGTCTGGGGTTTGAAGAGGAACCTAGAACATGACCTTGGGCAAGACGTCCCTGCTCGGGCCACCACCCCCAGGCCTCCTGAGCTGGGACAGACATGTCTGACCAGTTTCCAGCAGAGTCCCCGATGGGAGCTTCCCGGAACTGAGAGGCCGTCTCCTACTTCTCCCCTGCAAAAAAAGCCCAGTGTGATGGCTCTTTTCTAAGAAGTCCACGGGAAATGACTCCGAATTCTCATTGAGACTGATTCCGATGCCCTGGTTTATAATTCATCCCAGGGGCCGCCTTGGGTCGGCGGAGATGTCACTCAGACCTGGTCCCAGACCTCGAGTTCAGATCAGATGCTAGAGAGTCCCAGGGAGGGCCGGGCCAGCGCAGACAGGCAGCGCGGAGCCCCGAGGCAGGCCCCCGCTCCTTTGGAGAGGGTATCAGGGGACACAGGGTGGACGACACCACCCATCACCGGGGAAACTCCCAAGAGCAGGGTTCATGGCCTTAGGCACTTACTACGGGAGAACCCAGCAGGGCTTTGCAGCCACAGTGTCCCAGCCTTGGGATTGCTCGCCCCCGCCCCCACTGGTCTGGCCTCCCTCCTCACTCCTGACCCCTACTGCTCCCACTGCTCCTGCCTCCACGCCCCCCCACCCCCAACCCTGACAGCAGCTACTGCTCCAGGCCTGGGTCCTTCCTTCCAGACCTGGAGGCAAGGCCAGGGGCAAGGTGAAAGGAACTTGGCCTTGGGGATAATAAGGGGCTACAACTCAGAAAGGGGGGAGCTGCAACCCACAATCCACAAGGCCGAGCAGCCCCTTACTGGCCTCCTCCCTCAGCTCTGGTCCCCAGGTCCCCAGCATCCCTGCCGTTGCAGGGTCAACCAACCCCTGAAGGAAGTTCCTCTGTCGGGCCGTGAGGAGGGGCCCCAAGTGCCCGCATGAAAGCGAATCCATCTCTGGGGTTCCTTGGGCGTAGGAGTGGCCATGGGACACAGGCTGAGCTGATGAGACATAATAGGGAGTGAAGGGCAGACTTCCAGAAAGTTCCTTAAAAGCTGCCCTCCCCCAGCACCCCACAAAGCCTCCGTTGGCCAAGTTTGGGACCCTGGATTTCTCTCCTGCCCCATGCTGGCATCCCATAGGTGGGGAGGGGAGAGGCCATCTGGCAACCCTGAGTATAAGCGTGTCCTCAGGCTGAGGGACAGGGGTGCAGGTGCTTCTCGACGTAGCAGACCCAGGGACTCCAGCCCTGCCTGCGGCCTCCACATGCCTTAAGGTGTCAGGAAAACCGCGAGGTGCGCAGGCTGGGGTTTAGGTTTCCTGCCCCACACACCTCAACGATTCCTCACCTCCAGGACCGCTGCACTGGGCCCCCAAGCCCAGGTGTGGTAAGGCCAGAGAGAGGCTAGAACTCCTCCCTCCTCCGAACCAGCAGAGGGTGTAGCTCACGTCGGGGACTCCCATGCAGTCAACTCCAGCTTGTGTCCTAGGTGGCGCATGTGTGTGCGTGCCCAAGATCCAGAGAGGACACAGTTATTATCTCTTATTTTTAGTTGTTTTGATCTCATTAGATGAAGTGATATTGTAGTTACAACTTGATAATTTTAAAAAATAACATAGCCCAGCCTGATAGCGCAGTGGTTAATCAGTATGCATTGGAGGCCACATCCAACATGACAGACTGTGGTTCAAATCCCAGCCCCAGAGGTTTGGTAGAGATGCACTTGCCCAAAATCCCGATGGAAAAGAGAAATGAGGAGAAGGAATTGGGTATGACCATGCCCTAGTGGGCTTTCTCATCCCGCCCACTTCCCAGTACATGCACGTGCAGCGTGGCAGTAAAAACAGACAAAACTCCATGTTTTTTCTTACTACAAAAGCAATACATGATTATTTCAAGCAATACATGAAAATATAGATAAGGGAAGAAAACAGAAGGTCTTCCCAGAGGCTTACCTTCCAGTCTTATGACTGTTCACACCCTGTGAGGGTCAGCATGCTCAGCTCCCTTCAGGTGCCTATTATGAAGATGCTAGTGATGGTCTGTTAGGGGTTGTGGGTGCTCAGGAGGGTCCCACAATGGGGCGGCCTCGGAGCAGTCAGCCCAGACCTTTGTGACCCTGGGAGACTGCATTCTGATGTTAGTCTATCTTCTAGTTCTTTAAGAGAACCTGGGAATCTAGAGATGTGGATTTAATATGACATTTCCTGGGACCAGCAGTTAGCGTAATTACTATGTCTCTGGACTCCCATGTAGTCGACTGCGGTTCGCATCCTGGACCCGGTGGCTTAAAACTCACGCTGGGTGGCGCATGTGTGTGCGTGCCCAAGATCCAGAGAGGAGAATGGAGGAGACGGGATTGCAGGGTGGCCACCCCCCTCCCCCCCGGCGGTGATTTCTTGCTTTCTGTCTCTGTCTCTAGCAAGCACACATGCCCCATAGCAAAAATCTCTCCAGAAAAAGAATAATAATAAACTTTAAAAACCTCCTCCTTTCTCAACGGCAGCCCCCCGCAGTAACACTGCCTGCGACAGACTACGGGGCGTCTAGCTGGGCAGCTCACCCCTCTCAGGGCAGCGCCTGCCCCCTCTGCACTGAGCTCCCACCCACCTTCCGGAATTGGGTCTCTGATTTCACAAAGCTGGCGAGCGTGTGGGGCGGGCTCGGGTTCTCAACACACTGGGTGCACCCTCGGGTGGGCCATGATCCCGCTGGTGGCAGGGCTGGGGGAGGATCGGGGAGACCCTGGCCAGTTTAACAAATAAAACACATCGGGCCAGACGGTGACGCAGTGTGGCCCTGGGAGTCTGAGCAGCTCCACAGGGCAGGTTCCTGGCTCAAGTTCAGGACCACCCGGTACTCTGGAGGCTGGGAGTGGGTCATGGGTCGGGGCCCTGTTGGGGGTGCCATCTCTGTCTCATTTATGGAAGAGGAAAGGAGAGAGCAAGGAAGGGAATGTGTGTGTGTACAATATATATGTATATAACTAGTCTATTAAGGGGCTCGCAGCAGTCAGGGCCCCGCACGCCGAGACAGGTTCAGCACGTGGCTCCGCTGACGGGGCACTCTCACCTGTCGGAGAGGGGACGGGGAGGCTGGGCACCTTGTCCACCTCTGGCCTGGCCCACGGAGCCGGGGCCCTGGAGCACACGGCACTGCAGCATGGCCCTGTCCACGCAGGGTGCCAGCCTCAGGCAGCACGGTCACTGACTTCTGGCTGGGGCGGGGCTGCTATGGAAGGGGGCGCAGCTAAGAGGCTGGCACAGCCATCGGGGACCCCCACACAGGTTGTGGCCAGGCACCAATGGCTTGTACCACACACCCTCCTGGACATGCTCGTGCAGGGTCTGGGGGAGAAGGGCTTTGGTGGGTGCCGCCCCTCCCAGATCCCCCAGCCGGCCACGCTGTGTCAGTGTCCCTGGGACCAGCCTTTGTGAGCAAGGTGGGGGAGGAGGAGCACACTGTAAATCAGAGTGGCAGTGGGGTCCCCAGGGCCTGGCTCAGTCCCTGGCCGCAGCCCGAGGGTGGAGGGACATTGCCATAGCCATTTGGGAAATGCTGACACCCTCCAGGCAGCAGGGAGGACGGAGCAAGGTCACCCTAGCCAAAACTCTGGCCAGGCCAGCCCTGCTCAACAGCGCCCTGCGCCCCCTGACTGACTTCCTGTCTGAACATCTGGCTCTGAGGGGTAGAGGAGGGGGTCCCAGCCACAGCCTGAGGATAAAGGCCTGCTCTCCGGCCTGTGCCCCTCGTTAACCTGCCTTCCCAACCGTGGCCCCGTCCTGTGCGCTGGGGGAGGTTTGGCATCACTAGCTCCACCTTGGCCCCTCCAGTTGTGGC